TTATGTGCCTCTTTCATATTTATGTGTAAAGAGGTGATTGATATGGCATGCATGCATGCATCCATCTGTTTGCCCTTTGTTTCCTTTTCCTTCGTGTAACTTACGTTTATCGCTCTCACACATGTAGCAATATCTTGTCTTATCAGATATCTTGATTTTGTGATTCAGAAATAGGTATGGAAATATCTTTAGGGAACTGCCTTTTTCAGATGCCTTTAAATAGTATAAATAAATAGTTTATACAGAAGCTACACAGGGAGCAAATTAATTGTAGCATAACCACATGACTTACTCTGTGGGTTTCATTAACGAGTTTATTTCCTTCTTAAATTTCAATATATTTTCAGAAATAAGAAACTGTGCAAGGTTGATGTACATCATGATGATGAGAAGAGCTGTTCGGGATTGGGATTTGGGCTGGATTGCAATCTCATATTTCTCTTACCTAAGTCTATATTTTATAAACTACAAGAAAATGATGAAATTTCAATAAAAAAATTTAATGGAAATATATTCTAATAGAATTACAATGGCAATTCCAATAGATATTCCATTGCTATTATTTTAGTTGAAATTTTTCAGTGTATTCCAACAAAAATATTCCGTTGGAATGTTTTTTCAATTGGAATTTTCATTGGATTTTGACGATTCCAACGGTAAATTTTTCAACGGGGGTGAAATAAAAATTCTAACGGAAATATCTACGGTAAAAAACCGTTAGATAAATAGTTGGAATCATCAAATTGAATCTAAAATTATTTTTAGACCTAATCCTGTGTCTATTGGTAATTATAGACCTATTAGCCTTTGTGGGGTTTCATATAAAATTATTTCTAAAATATTGACCACCAGACTGAAGGGTTGTCTTCATAGCTGCATTAGTCCTAATCAAAGTGCCTTCGTTCCTGGAAGGCAACTGTTGGATAATGTTATTATAGCTCAGGAAGCAGTTCATTATCTTAATAGACATAGGGTTGGTAAAAAAGGGATTATGGCAGTTAAAGTGGATATGGAGAAAGCCTATGATAGGATTGAGTGGGGTTGTGTGGAAAAAGTGTTGGGTAGGATGGGTTTTCATTGTAAATTTGTGAAATGGGTCATGGCTTGTATTTCTTCTCCTGTTTTTTCTTTTAATTTGAATGGGGAGATGAGAGGTTTTGTTGAAGCTTCTAGAGGGATTAGACAGGGAGACCCGTTATCTCCATATATTTTCATTCTTGTCTCGGAGGTCTTGTCCAGAATGCTTGCTAATGTTGCTGATAGAGGGTTATTCTCTGGCATTAAAATGGGAAAAAATAGAGTCTTTATTTCTCACCTCATGTTTGCGGATGATACTTTATTTTTTAGTACTGCAGATGAAGCTCATGCCCAAATTTTGATGACTGTACTGGAAAAATACCAAAGGTTTTCTGGCCAAAAGATCAATCTTGGAAAATCTTCAGTTTTTTTCAGCAAAAGTACCAACAGAGCTATGCAGGATA